CAACAACCATGGCGAACAGCACCGGGGCAGGAGCAGCCAGGGAGGCAACAACCACGACGAACAGCCCATGCCACACGCCGACGGGGTCGGCGGATTTTTTGTCGGGTAGTGCCAGGACCGCTCGACCCCGCCCCTCCCCCGGTAACGACCCTTACTGAAGAGAAAAACAGTCACCCAACTATCCTCGGTTAGTGGGTTCGACCTGGTCGGCCCGAGTTTTGTCGGGTATATTGCCAGGGCCCCAAGGTGAGGGGACTCGGTGAGTAGTGAGCAGCAGGGCCCCGGAGCCCCCTCAGATTTGACAGACTCACGAAACCAGGTCCGCCGTAGCTGTTTTTTTTTTCGGGTGACGGCAGTTCCGGTCAGTGGACCGTGGCAGGGGGGGCGTCCCCCAGTACACCAATACACATCTCTAGACCAGGTCCCGCTCAACCCAGTTCTGCCGACGCCCGATCTTGTGAGCTCTTCCCCAAACAATTTAGGGAGGGAGGGAGGGAGGGAGGGAGGAAGGGAGGGAGAGAGGGAGGGAGGGAGGTCGTAGGGCAGGAGGAAGAAAAGGCAGGCGGTTGCGGCCGCAGGGCGCGAGGAGGGGAGGGGGAGGGCGCTCACATGGCGGGCGTTGCCGCGGAGCGGCCGGGGCGGCCAGCAAATGCTGCACCCCTGGTAGCGGGCGTGGGGCGCACCATTACCCCCACAATCACCATCAGCACGATCACCATCATCATCATCGTCATCATCCTCAGCATCATCGTCATTATAAAAACCAGCATCACCGTCATCATCACCATGATCATGATCATGAACATGGTCATGATCATCATCATCACCACCATCACCAACATCATCATCACCATCACCAACATCGTCATTACCACCATCACCACCACAATCAGCATCATCATCATAATCAGCATCATAATGGTCATCATCATCAACGTCATTCCAGTCGTCATCATCATCATCATCAACATCATCACCATCGTCATCAGCATCATCATCACCATCATCATCACCATCACCAGCGTCATCATCATGATTACCACCGTCATCACGAGTCATCACCATCATCATCATCATCACCACCAGCAGCATCATCAGCATCATCATCACCGTCATCATCATTATCACCATCATCAGCATCATCACCATCACCTTCTCCTTCTTCTTTTTCTTCTTCTTATTCGTTGTCAGCATCTTCACCATGATCACCACCACCATCACCATCCTCATCATCGTCGTGGGTGGGCGAGGCCAATGCGCACGTATGGTGGATCCCTCGCCTGTGGCCACGCACACGTGAAAACGCCTGCCCTGCGCACGCGCGCCCTATCCCCCCCTCCGCGCACATAGGTCGGGTCGCCCTTTGGGGGCCGTGGACACGTGAGAACGTATGCCCCACGCGCACGCGCTAGGGGCATTCCCCCCCAACAACCCCCCTTCCGCGCACGACGCGCCCAAGCTTGCTCCCCCCCCCCTCTGGGGGCCGTGGACACGTGAGAACGCGCGCCCCGCACGCGCGAGCCGGGCGCATGTTGGGTCCGTTTCCCCCTCCGCGCACGTGTTGTCATCTGTGGAGAATTCGACGCGACCCCCCTTCGATCCCGTGGGCACGTGAGAGCAGGTGCCCCGCACGCACGCGCCAGGCGCATGTTGGACCCCCCCCCCCGCGCACGTATTGTCACGTGCATGGGGTCCGAGGCGCCCAAGCTTGCCCCCTCCCCCCCCCCCCCCCCCTCTCCCCCCCCCTCCCCCCCTTGGCAGCCGTGGACACGTGAGAACACGTGCCCCGCGCGCGCGCGCCAGGCGCATGCTGGGCCCCACTAGAACCCCGCCGCGCCCAAGTTGGGTCACGCCTTGGGAGGCGTGGGCGCGTGAGAACGCGCCAGTCCCCGCAGGCACGCGCCAGGCGCAGGTTGCCCCCCCCCCCCCCCCCCCTCCGCGCACGTATGTCCACTTGTGAAACATCCGACGCGCTCAGGTTGGCCCCCACCATGGGGGCCGTGGGCACGTAAGAACGCCTGCCCCGCGCGTGCGCGCCAGGCGCACATTGCGCCCCTCCCCTCCCCCCCTCCCCCCTCCTTGGGGGTCCGTGGGCACGTGAGAACACGTGCCCGCGCGCACGCGCCAGGCATGCGTGCCCCGCGCGCACGCGTCAGCGGCAGGTTGGGGCCCTCTCCCTCGGCGTATGTATTGTCACGTGCAAGGGAATCCGAGGTGCCCAGGTTGCCCCCGCCGCCCCACTTAGGGACCGTGGACACGGGAAAACACGTGCCCCTTTCACACAGGTCTAAGTTGGGGTCGCAGGCCAGAAACGCGTGAAAACAACACGTGCCGAACGCACGCGTGCCGAGACTCATGTTCGAGACCCCCTTCCTCCTCACACGTATGGGACCCCCCCTTCCGCGCCCGTATTTTCGCGTGTAGGGAATCCGACGCGCCATAACTTGGTCACCCCTTGGGTGCCGTGGACACGTGAAAACACGTACCCCGCGCCCACGTGCCTTGGTCACCCCTCCCTCCGCGCAGGAATTTTTACGTGTGAAGATCCCGGCGCGACCAGTTGGGTCACTCGCCTGCGGCCCTGTACATGCGAAAACACGTGCCGCATGCACACGCGCCTTGCGCACGTACTTGTGCGTGTGAAGAATCTGGCGCGACCAAGTTGGGTCCCTCGCTTGTGGCCCCGTCGTCGCCAGAAACACGTGAGAACACGTGCCGAACGTACGCGTACCGAGATTCATGTTCGAGACCCCCCTTTCCGCACATGTATTTTTTCCGTGCCGAATTCGGACGCTTGCTACTCGACACCCTTCTGATGGAGAGCTTTTGGCCCGCAAACCAAAATAGAACCCTAGGCCAGAGCCCTTACCAGGAAGACGCATGTGAATTGCCCTTCAACTTTGATGCGGACCTCAATTCGGCACACCCCTCACGCACTTCGTCCCCCATGGACACCCAAAGGGCCGTGCGACCTCCATGGGACGCCAACATCATGGCCCAAAGTAACACTGCAGCGATTGGCACCGACCCTCGTCGAGGCAGTATCCCTAACATCCACTGGTTGCAAGTTCTGCGTGCAAACTTCCCCTTGGGGGCCCGCCGTGACTCCTCCCGCTCTGCGGGCTCAATAAGTACAACTCCTCTTCTCTTTTTTTCCTCCTCCCTCCTCCTCCTCCCTCCTCCTCTCTTTTCCTCCTCCTCCTTCTTTTCCTCCTCCTCCTCTCTTTTCCTCCTCCTCCTCCTCCTCCTCCTCTCTTTTCCTCCTCCTCCTCCTTCTCCTCCTCCTCCTCTCTTTTCCTCCTCCTCCTCTCTTTCCTTCTCCTCCTCCTCTCTTTTCCTCCTCCTCCTCCTCCTCATTCCTCCTCCTTCTCCTTCTCCTCCTTCCTCTCCTCCTCCTCCTCCTCTGGCAGGGCTCAATTTCGACTGCTCCGAGCCGATGCGACTCGACTCCGATCGAAGCTCGACTCCAGTTCGGATTCCGCGCGGAGGCCCTGCGAGCCTGCTGGTGTGCTTCCGCATCGACTTTATTCTGGGCTCTCCCGAGGAGGAGGAGCAGGAGGAGGAGGAGGAGGAGGAGGCGGAGGATCAGGAGGAGGAGGAGGAGGAGGAGGAGGAGGAGGAGGGAGGAGGGAGGAGGAGGAGGAGGGAGGAGGAGGATCAGGAGGAGGACGAGGAGGATCAGGAGGAGGAGGAAGGAGGAGGAGGAGGAAGGAGGAGGAGGAGGAGGAGGAGGAGGAGGAGGAGGGAGGAGGAGGAGGAGGAGGAGGAGGAGGAGGAGGAGGAGCAGGAGGGGACTGGGCTCTCCTGACCCTGGGTTCGGGAGAGGCTCTGGTTCTCGGGCGCGCGCCCCTGTGAATTCGGGCCGCGGGGCCCCTGTTGTGGCCAGGGGGGCCCTCCGTGGCCCGGAGAGCGCCCCCTTCGTTCTCTTGTTCGGCGAGCCCTCGGTGGTGGCATGCGCAGGCCCAGAGGTTGACACCAGCTCCTCCTCCTTCCTCCTCCTCCTCCTCCCCTCCTCCTCCTCCTCCTCCTCCCCCCTCCTCCTTCCTCCTCCTCCTCCTCCTCTTCCTCCTCCCGCACCGACATCGGCGGTGGTGTGCCTCCACCGAGGGAAGCAGATCCCGATCTCGGTGATGGTGGCAAGATTCTGGCCTCCAAGGTGGCCGAGCCACCATCGCCAAGACCGAAATCCAGGATCGTCTTCCCCCTGTGGAGGCACCCCCCTGTGCTGGTGTTGGTGCCGATTTCCAGGCCTCCAATAGCAGGATGGCTGTACCCATCGGTCGTTGAAAGCAGGTATTCTAGGAGTGCCAGATTCCAATCTACTTGATAAGCGCCTTCGTGCTTCGCTTCAGTGGTCGAGTTGCTTCACATTTTCCGTCCTCTTCAGGGGGCTGGCGGACACCCAGTCTATTTTCGACGCCTTCCTACTTCATGTCTCTATTCATTTCTTCCGACCGATGGGTGCTCTAGGCCTCCCAGATGGGGTCCGAGTAGATGGGGTCGCAGGATCGCGCCGCATCGCCGACGCACCGCCGATGCGGCTCGATGCGGAGCTCGATTTTCTCCACGCCGACGTCGCCGATGCATCGCCGACGTCGCCGACGCGTCACCAATGCATCTCCGATGCATCGGCGATGCATTGGCGATGCGGCGCGATCCCCCGACCCCATCTTCTCGGACCCCACCTGGGAGGCCTCTATGTACGTCGTCTTCGTGAGTCTTCGTCGTCGCCACCGCCGTCTTCGTCGCCTGCCGTCATCGCCGCCGTCGCCGCCGCCGTCGCCGCCGTCGTCGCCGCCGTCGCCGCCGCCCGCCGCCGCCGTCGTCGCCGCCGCCGTCGTCGCCGCCGCCGCCGTCGCCGCCGTCGTCGTCGCCGTCGTCGCCGTCGCCGCCGTCGTCGTCGCCGCCGTCGCCGCCGTCGTCGTCGTCCTCGTCGTCGTCGTCGTCGCCGCGCTGCGGCCGAGGGCGGCCCCCCCCCCCGACGGCGGCCGCCGCAGCAGGCCGCGGAGCGCGTCTACCGCGGCGAGCCCCGGCCCGCCTGGGCGACGGAGGGCCGGTGCCCGGACGTGCTGCCCTCGTACGAGGACGGGGGGGGGGGTCGTGCGGCAGCAGGCCGTGGGAGCCTGGCGCAGTCTCGGCGGCGAGCGGGTTTCTGGAGGAGGAGGAGGAGGAGGAGGAGGAGGAGGAGGGACTGTTCCTTGGACTGCTCGAGTGGTGAAGGATCCCTCGGGGCCGAGACCGCCCCGCCGCGAGCGCCACCACCCCGAGGGGGACCTATAGGGCCAACGCAGCCGGGGTCGCCGGGCCAGCGCCCCACGGGAGGGGACGCCTGCATGCTCGCCCGTGCCACGCGGCCCCCGGCCGCGGTGCCTGCTCCTCGGTTCGAGCTCCGAGGTTTCTGGAGGTTTTCGTCGGTGCTCGGCGGTCTTCCAGCCTCGGGGTACCTGCCAGCAGCTGCGCCTCGCCGGAGGCGTTCTGGGGGTGCCCGGATCGTCCCGAAGGGCCGCTGGAGGCCCGACCCCCGAGCCAAATTAGGCGTTGCGCCCGGGGGGGGGACGAGGAGGAGAAGGCCCTCTCAGAAGGCGGCGGGACTTCTCAGACGCCCTCGCGCCTTCTGAGAAGCTGAGAAGTGTTTGGTGCCTTCGGGGGAGGCTTTGAAAACTCCTCAGAAGGCTGGGGGACTTCCGAGCCTTCTGAGAAGGCCCACCTCTTCTCACTTCCCCCCTCGCTCGCCGCCGACAGTCGGACCGATGTATAAGATCGAGGTTGATTCGAGGGGGTTGCCCTAATGTTCTTCGTGCTTGTGGGACTTTCTTGTGCATCCTGGGGATGGTACCCCTTGGATGTTCTGCGTGCGTTGGCCAAGGGAGGGTCTCCTGTTCTTGAGGGTTGTACTTCTGGCCTAGGTCCGACTGTATACCCCCTCGAGGTCTCCCAGACATGGCCGCGTCGCAAGGAAATCACGACGGAAGGTTTTTGGCAATTTTCGGTTTCTGGGGGCCCTCGCTGTTCCCCGGGACCGTCAAACAACGATGTACGACGACAAACTTGTCCTGGGGAAAGGGTCGGGACTTCTGGGGCGTAGATTCAGGAGCAGGAGGAGGAGGAGGAGGAGGAGGAGGAGGAGGAGGAAAAGCAGGAGGAGGAGGCAGGAGGAGAGGAGGGGGAGGGGAGGAGTAGGAGGAGGAGCAGGAGGAGGAGGAGGAGGCAGCAGGAGGAGGAGGAGGAGAGAGGAGGAGGAGGAGGAGGAGGAGCAGGAGGAGGAGGAGGAGGAGGAAAAGCAGGAGAAGGAGGACAAGGATGAGAAGGAAGAGGCGGAGGAGCAGGAGGAGGAGGAGAAGGAGGAAGAGGAGGAGGAGGAGTAGGAGGACCAGTGTAAACCTAAGAGTCATCAACGATGTTGGAAGTAAGCCTCCCTCCTAAGCTCCCTCTTTATAGACCCCATACAGCGGTTCATTTCCATTGAGGGAACTTCCTCGTTGGAAGACAACCGTTTGAAGATCCATAAGCATGCCAAAGCATTGTTCTCGGGATTTCAACGTCACGTATCAACCTGACTGCTGTGTTTTGGCGACCTGGAATCGTGCCATAACGCCATTCTTTGGATCTCAACACCGCGAACCAACATAACTGTTGCACCCGCATAGTCCGGAATCCTTCGAAAGCACTGTTTTTGGCACGTTGATCATAGGAAACCGTGCAAGGCCTGCAGTTTTTTACAACACATGTGCGCGGGGCTAAGGCGAGAGCCACATTTTGAAATACGACCCGCCCTCAATCCGTCAAGCTTTTGCAGATGTTTAAAACTAATGTGCGCGGTGCTATCGCGAGAGCCACATTTTGAAAACGACCCGCCCTCAATTCGTGACACTCTTTCACATTTTTGAAACGAATGTGCGCGGCGCTACCGCAATAACTACATTTTGAAAACCACCCGTCCTCAATCCGTGAAGCTCTTGTAATTTTTGTACAAAGAATGTGCGTGGCGCTAAGGCGAGAGCCACATTTTGAAAACCATCCGACCTCAATCCGTGAAGCTCGCTCTTGCAAATGACGGATGTGCGCGGCGCTAAGGCGAGAGCCACATTTTGAAAACCACCCGCCCTCCATGTGTGAAACTGTTGTCACTTTTTAAGCTTCAGAATCATAAGTGGTGAGGAAGTTTCAGGCGAAACGCCCAGCCCGCCCTAAAAACTGGCCTCGGGGTGCGACAGGGAGGAGTTATCTATAAGGAGAAGGAATGGAGGAGGAGCCGGAGGAAGGGGAGGAGGAGGAGGAGGAGCACCAGTGGAAACCCAAGAGTCACCAACGATGTTGGAATTAACCCTCCCTTCAAGCTCTCTCTTCATAGGCCCCTGCGACGGTTCATGTCGATTGAGGGAACTGCCTCGTTGGAAGACAACCGTTTGAAGATCCTGAAGCGTGCCACAACATTGTTTTAGGAATATCGACGCCTCGCATCAGCTTGACTGCTGCGTCTTGACGATCCAGGGTGCCAGAACGCCTTTTTTGGGGACTTTACAGCGAATCAACATAACTGTTGCGCCCGCATAATCCTGACTCCTTCCGAAACGCAATTTCTGGTACGTTGATCATGGGGATCCGTGAAACTCTTGCACATTTAAAAACGAATGTGCGCGGCGCAATCGCGAGAACCACATTTTGAAAACCACCCGCCCTCAACCCGTGAAGCTCGCTTGTGCAAATGTTTAGAACGAAAGTGCGCGGCGCTAAGGCGAGAGCCACATTTTGAAAACCACCCTCCCTCCATGTGTGAAACTGTTGTCACTTTTTAGCTTCAGAATCGTAAATGGTGAGGAAGTCTCAGGCGAGACGCCCGGCCCGCCCAAAAAACTTGCCTCGGGGTGCGGCAGGGAGGGGTGACCTATAAGGAGAAGGAATGAAGCAGGAGGGGGAGGGGGAGGAGGAGGGGGAAGAGGAGGAGGGGGAGGGGGGCGCTGAGTGGTAGCAGTAGGGGTAGGGGTAGTGGTAGGGGGAAGGGGGAAGGGGGAAGGGGAAGGAGGAGGAGGAGGAGGAGGAGGAGGAGGAGGAGGAGGAGGAAGGAGGAGGAGAGGAGAGGAGGAGGAGGGGAGGGGGGCGTGGATTCAGGTCGTGGGGATTCAGGTCAGGGAGCCACGTACCGCTCCCTGGATTCAGGTCGGGCTCAATAGCACCACACACACACATATATATATATATATATATATACACAATTCTGGCAGGGCTCACTTCGACTGCTCCGTTCCGCCACGATTCGGCTTGATTTCGATCAATTCCGATGCTGATCCGGCTCACTTCGGACCCCGATCGGGACTTCGGTCTCTCAGCGAAGGCCTTGCGAGCCTGCCGATGTCCGCGCCGAGTCGAGTCTGGGCTCTCCTGACCCTGGGCTCAGGAGGAGGAGGAGGAGGAGGAGGAGGAGGAGGAGGAGGAGGAGGAGGAGGAGGAGGCGGAGGCGGAGGAAGAGGAGGGGGAGGAGGAGGAGGAGGCGGAGGAGGAGGAGGAGGAGGAGGAGGAGGGGGTCTGGTTCTCGGGCCGCTCCCTGGATTCAAGTCATGGGGCCTGGTCGTGGCCGAGGCCTGCCGTGGCCAGGAAGCCGTCCCCTCGTTTCTTCCTCGGCGTTTTTTTTATGGCAGCAATGTGGTTCAACACAAGCAAGAAGAGAGGTGCGTGGGTAGGGGTGGGGGGGGGGCAGGGGTTTGACTCGTGGACGAGGCGCGCTGGGTCAGATTCTGCTTGAGCCACGAACGATGCGACGACATGCAGCGCGACCTGCATAGCCAGCGCTCCAGCGGACCAAGAAAGAGCAGAGTGACCGGTGCCGCCAGCACCTCCTGCAACGCCGCAACCGGCGCGACCGCCAACCGCGACCTGCAGCGCGCCGCATCTACGACCACGAACAGAACCAGCAACACCACCTGCGACAGTCACAGTGTCATGCGGCGATGACCTCAACAGAAGCAGCGACGCGCAATCAACCCAACTACGACCACGATCTGATAGACAACCAACCAGCCAACACCGCGGGGCACCAACAGCAACGCGAACACGTCGCAGAAGCCTTGATGAGGCAGGGGTCAAACTTCGAGACGGGCTCGAAGGGCGGGGGGGCAGGGCGAGTACTGCCCGCGTCCGCTGGGGGAATGGCGCGGGGCAGGGGGGGGGGTAGGACGGCCGCTCCCCGCGCCCCCGCGGTCCGCCATAGCTCGCCACCCCCGCCATTCCCGCGGCGAAGGAGGAGCTTGCCCGAATGCCGACAAGGCGAAGCACGACAGGGCAACGACGAGCACGAGCGGGACGTCGGCGACCCACCTACGAACCACGGACATTCCACGAGCCACGACCAGCCCAAGATAGACGCTGGTATGAATGCAGCACTACCGACGACGTGCAGATGCGAAGTCAACGACACCTTCGGCAGCATCATCGGCAGGGAGAACCACATCCTGAACCTGAAGACGGAATTGCACTTATGCGACCTCGGCGAGCTAGCGAAGACGGCCCTCCTGCTCGCGCCCCCCACCAGCGAGAGCAACCGCGTCGCCCCGTGCCGAGAAATGCGCAATTCATACCGATGGTTTACATTGCGAGGCCAGTTGTGATGATGGCGGCTGGGCTGCTGTGGTCGTGACCGTGAAGCAGAGGGCATGCAGCGCCTAGGGTTATGTTGCGGGGCGAACCAGGACAGCCTCGCGGCATGCTCAGAGCTGCGACCTGGATAGTACCGCATCGGAGCTGATTTCGATGTTCCGGGCTCTTGCGTTCACGCTTAAGTATGAGACGGGTAAGTACGGCGTCGACGCGATCGCCGGCGACCCAGCCCATGCGACCGCGGCGGCAAACAGGTCAGCGGTATACAATCCTTTTGAGAAGCTCTCCCGGTGTGTATCGATACTGGCGCATGAGGTCGGGTACCGCCCCGCCCTGGAGGTTCGGCACGCAAAGTCTCGCGACTTCGACCCCTGGCAAAGCAGACCCGCATGGGCGAGCACGACAGACATGCGCGACGTTATCGACTGCGCGCGCGAGCTCGGATGGAGCTTCATGAAGTACGACCAGAACGAGGCCGAGAAATGCCCCCGCCTAGGCGAACAGGGCTTCTTCTACGACGCGAAGCGGCAGCATGTCAACATCGGCGATGACGGGTGCGTCGCGCTTTAGAATCAAACACCAGGCGAAGCTAAGCCCCAGCAGCCCACGCAGGTCTATGTGAAGGTGGCCACGTGCAAATGCCATGGCCCTAGTGTGCTCGAGGTGCAGAAAGACGACGAAAGGCGTGATGCCCAGCACAGAGGGAAAGGACTTCAAGAAGCATGGGCTGCGGATTACCCAGAACAACCTCATTGACTGGAGGGTCGCCATCATCGGCGTGCATGAGGCGCGTGGCTCCGACGCAAAGGGCCACGCAGATGGACGCATCCTCTTGAGATCGCCGGCAGACGCTTGCGCCGCCAGGGGCGTCCTAGACGTGTGCTTCGCCGAGAAGCACCTCAGAGTGCCCTGCCGTGCCCCGGCGCTGCCCATAGTGCAGATTGCGGCGCCCGCTTTCTCCGTGGTGTGCGCTGTGGCGCGCGCTCCGCGCCGCCGCGCCTTCATCGTCGAGCGGCAGCGCTGGTGGCCGGATTTTTAGACGCAGACCAGGCAGTTCAAAGCGGACGCGGTCTTCTTGGATGCGTGCGCGCAGCTGGGGCATACTGTCTACCATCGAGTGATGAATCGTTTCGCGTGGATCCGCAGCGAAGGGCGACGTCGACGGCGAGCACCTAGCTCTCGCCGCGGCATCGCGCGAGCTCGACATGGTCGGGGTCACCGCGCACGACGACGCTGGTCCGACATGCCGAGCAGACGGCTGCCAAGACAAGCACATCGACCACGTCATGATGAAGCCCATATACAACGAATGCGTCCAACGGTGCTACGTCGAGAACGACTTCAACGACGGCCTCCAGTCCCACGATCACAGTTCAGTTATTGTGGAGATCGGGTTCTTTTCCGCCAGCCCTACAGCCAAGCCGGCGAGGCGATCGCCGTGCCGAGTGAAGTACAGCGACGAACGCACGAAGCTCAAGCGCAGTGGGGACCTCAGCACCCCCGAATCTAAATGGGGCGATGACGTTAACAAGCGCTCTCAGGAGATTGCGTAGAGGATCGTAGATGCATCGGCAAGCGCCTTCGCCATAGACCCGTTGATCCCGATTCAATCCCACGTATCATTCAGGTCGATGCGACTTATCCGAGTCAGGCGGCGCGCGATGCGCGAGATGCGCCTGTGGAAGACAGCCAGAGGCAGCATCCAGAACCTGATGGCCCAGCTACCGCAAGAAGAGCAACTAGTATACCCCGCAGGGGCGCCAGGGCGACGGGACGCGCTGCGGCTAGCGCTTGCCATGGGCATGCTAGCCGTCGGGGTCATCAACGACATCGAGGTAGCGGCGGGGGCCAATCGATATCTGGGGGTCACAGCGAAGGGCCTCCGCATATCCATGGGCGACGACGTGAGGCATCGCAATGCGCGTTGCGCGTCCCAGCTCAGCGAAGCGGCGCAGAAGGAAAACAGCCAGAACCAGTGGGGATGGCTGTTGAAAATTATGATGCTCGGGGGCGGTCAGCAGACTTGGTGTGCAGGCAGCGTCGTCATGCCGTGCCGCCTCGACGAGAACGACGACGTAATCCACTTCTACCACGCTGGCGGCAGCCCAGATCCGACGCTGCGCCGAGATGGAGGGCGCGGTGATGGGTGATCGCGTGTCCGTGGCCAGCAGGTTCAAACTCGTCGACGCCCTCGTGCTTGAAGACGTGCAGGTCAACATCGAGAGCGTGCAGGCCCTGTTGGACATGGAGTTGGGCTTGCGACGGGGCAAGCGACGTCGTCGCCGACGAAGTCTTGGCCATCGAGCCATGCCGAGATGCCAAAGAGATCCGCCCCCTCCCGACTACGGTCAGTCTGATGGTGCAGGAGTCCCTGGCGCTTAAGCGCGCCATCCTGGCCGATATTGGCAAGGGCAGGGGCGGCGCGCCCCGGCGAGGCGCGCGCAGTTCCATTGCGCTGTGCAGCGCCATGGCCAAGGGCCGCTGCAAGTTCGCGCGCGGCCAACTCGAGGAGGCGGCGGCCATGATCTACTTGGGTTCGCAGGTCGGGGGCCTTGATGGGGAGGGCGCCCCGCGCGACCCGCCATATTCGGTGCCCACAGCGCCATGCGAAGCGAACCCTGCGCATGCTCGCCTTGTTGTTTCGTCGACCTGGAGGCCGCGTTCCATCGAGTCGCGAGGCAGCTCCTGGCGCTGATCCCCTGGCGCGAGCACGACGGCGACGACGTGTGCCGCGAATCCGATGTCCCCGACGTCCTCCGCCGCTTCCTGGGCGACGTTCTCGCAGAGCCTGGCCTGCTGCAGAAGCGCGTGGCCGACTCCCTCCAGCGGGCCGTCGTTGCTGAGGCGCGGCGCCTTGCCTGGTTCAACGTGGCAGGGCATGGGGGCGCGGGGGTCTCCCGTCGCGGGGCTCGACCTGGAGCGCCGCCGGTGGCCGTTGCGAGCCAGAGCATGCGCCGCGAAGGCCTCGCCATCTCGACCGGGGAGTGCGTGTCGGAGCCCGCGGAAGCCGACGTGCCGCGCAACCCATCGGGGGGGCTAAGGGAGGTGAGTGACGTGGCGCGCGCCGACGACACCACCTTCACCATCGCATCGAACGGACTGCCCGACGCGCTGGTGCGGGCGAAGCGCCCGGCGGACTTAATGCGCGAATGCTTCCGATCACGCGCGATGGAGCTCTACTTCGGGAAGAACAAGACCGCGGCCCTCATGTGCGCCAGCGGCTCCGGCGCAAGACAGACCAATGCGCGCATCTGCGAAGGGTAGATCAAGCTGACCGCCGACGCGTGGGACATCGCGATCGACGTCGTGCTCGAGTATCGGTACATGGGCACCGCCATCGTCGCAGATGGTTCCTGGGGCCCCGAAGTGCAGCGACGTGTCGTAGCCCGCAAGAACGCCCCGGACCCCATGTTGAGGGCCGTGTTCAAGGACGACGTCCTGCCGGCAGGAAACGGCGCCAATTTCGTCGATGCTATGACCAACGCGCGGCTCACATGCCAAGCAGAGCTCTGGTGCGGGATGGCGGCTGCCGGCCGAAAGCAACGCGCGTGGAGGGGGCGCCGCGCAGCAGCTGGGCTACTGTGCCGCGATCGAGTCACGCGACATGTGGCCAACCAGGAGGCATGCGTCGCCGCTGAGCCAGCGGGGCTCGACGCCGCAACCGCAGCGCGCATGCAACGATTTTCCAGCAACGTAGTATACAACGATCCCGAGACACTCCTCAACCTCTTCGACTTCGCCTGCCAGGCGGGCGACCCGTGGCGCGACCAGCTGAAGGGATATTTTCGATGGCCGCGCGATCGCGCGTCTGCGGGGAGCCTGCCTTTGAGCGACAGCGTCAAGGACTTGGATCGACTACTGCAAGGTGAGCGCCAAGAGGGTGCCGAAGGCAATCGGGAGTGCATGGGAAGCGCATGGAAGGACGTGGCTCGAGGATTGTAAGCGCCAGCTACGGATGCGCTAGCGCGAAGGAGGGCTCGGCGGCAGCCCGGCGGGCGGCGGCGTCGAACCCTGGCAGGGCTGGCGCTGCGGTGCGACGCGCTACGTATGCCACGATAGCGGAGCTACCTTCTCGACGGAGGTATCCCTCAAGAGGCGACGTGCCAGGGGGCATCTTCCTTCGGGCGATGCCCAGTTCTATGCTGTTGGCTCCCGATGCGAGTGTTGCGACGCAGAGCGTGCGCCTCGTTCGGCACTTGCGTCGCCATCAGACGGGGTGCCTCAACGCCTGCGTCGAGAACCGAGACCGATGGGCCGCGCGGGCGCGCATGTGCTCGCGGGCGATGACGCGGGGGCAACCGAGAACTTGAAGAGCAGAGGCTGCAGGAAAGATCAGGCATTGCATCCTGCCATGGGGGCGAGTGCATGCCGACGATGGCGTGGGTCGACCGCCTCTACTCCAACGCCCAGATGAGCACCGCCAGAGAGCGCAGCCTCCACCCGTGACGATGCAACGCCCGGAACGAGAGGCAGGCGCGGATAATATTGATGCGCGCCCCTCGACGCCGCGAAGGGCGACGCCGCTGGAGCCGGGCGCCGACGCGGCGCTTGACCTGGAGGCCAGTGGGGGCGCCCATGACGACGACCGCATCATCTGGCTATTCGACGGTGACATCGAGAAAGACCGCGCACTGTATAATGAGCCTCGGGACAACGCTGACGGCAGCTACGCGCTGATGGAGATCACCTTCCACGACGAGGACCTTGACGTGCACGACGGGATCCACGCGCGGTCTTGATGACGCGACATCGCGAGGCAGTGCTGCAGTGCCGTCAGGGTAACGCCGAGGAGCCCAACGGGGCGCGGCGCCTGACGCAAGCGAAGATTCACGCCGTCACCGCCGACAATGCTGAGCTGCGGGTCGCCGCCGACATCGTGGAGCTCGCCGCCAGAAAAAACGCCCCGAGCGCCGTGCTCCTGCCGCCGCGCTGCGCGGGCCGTCCGCGCCCGAGCGCGCTTGAGGAGTTCCCGGCGCTCGGAGCGACGCGCGCGGAGTGCAGGAGGACGGTGTGCGCCTGCGGCCAGGGCCGACACTGCGGGGCCACCGCGAGGCTAGAGCTGGGCATGCTCCTCCGCGGCGCTGCAGGAGCTGGCGACGGCCTGGCGGGCGCGCCTGCGGGCGTGGGCTCCGCGTCGCACCTCGTGCAGCCCCTGGTGCGCGCCCGCGGCAGCCTCCGCAGCGCGAGAGAGGCTGAGCGGGGCGGCCGCGCGGGCGCGCGAGGCCCGCTGGGCCCAGGGCTGCGGCCATAGTTTGCCCCGGACCGCCCCCTCGCCCCCCCCCCCTCGCCCCCCCCCCCCCCCCCCCCCCCCTCGGACCCCTTCGTTGCCCTGAGACCCTTGGAGGCTTTCCTGTCTTCCGATGGGGGCTGAGGGGCGGCCGCTCGTGCGTCGCCCATCCCATGATGCGGGCGACGGCGCCGAGCAGAAGTCGCGCGCGCCTCGCCGCCGCCCAGCCGCAGGAATTGGCTGGCAGCTGGACGGTGGCTGGCCATCAGGGCGGTGGCGCGGCACGGGGCGTAGCCTGTGGCCGCCCTCCCCTCGTCCTGACCCCCGAGGCCCCTCCCCCCCCTCGCCCTCGCGAGCCCTTGGGCCCACGCTTCTCTTCCCTCGCGCCCTCTGGGGCGTCCCTCCCGCCTCTGGTGGCCTGCCCTGCCTCGGCTCCTCTTGGGCTCTCGGCGCTCTTGGGTGTCTTGGGCTTTGGGCCCCCTCGTCCTCTTCCTTCCAGGCCCTTTGAGTCTTCTCGCCTGTCCTGCGGGGTCCCTTGGAGCCCAGGCCCCTGTTGCACTTCGGCGGTCGCGGCGCCGCGCGACGCGGCGGCGCGGTCGCGTTTGTAGAGGTGCTGGACACCGCGGCGTGCGCCATGGGGTGAGTGAGTTAGTGAGTGAATGAGTGAGTGAAAAAGCGAGCGAGTGAGTGAAGAGCAGGAGGAGGAGGAGGAGGAGGAGGAGGAGGAGGAGGAGGAGGAGGAGGAGGAGGAGGAGGAGGAGGAGGAGGGGGCCTTTGCGACGGTGTGTGGGGCTCCAGGCCAGGATGCCCGCTGCGAGCTGCGAGGACGAGGGGCCAACATCGCCTTGGGGCCGCTGCCAGTCCTCGTGGCCTCATCTCTCGGGGGTGAGGGCCATGGGGCGGCGAACGCCGTGCGCGTGCACCAAGCTCGCCACTCCCATCCTGGGCCTGGTATTGGCGCGTGTGCCTCCTTGGCCCAGGCAGGAGGCCATGCCGAGGAGAACGAGGAGGAAAAGGAGGAGGAGGAGATCCAGGATCGGTGTCCATGTGCATAGTTCCATGTGTGTGTGTGTATGTGTGTGTGTGTGTGTTTGTGTGTTTGTGTCTCGCACACGTCAGTGTCCCCTATTATTATTTCGGGTTTGCGTCCCCCGCCCCTCCCCGTCGTCCCAGCACATGCCTCGGGCCATGATGCGCTAGCCCGTGCGGCGCGAGAGCGCGAAGTTTGTCGTGTATCGCCGGGCGCGATGCGCGAAGTAAAGTGGCCAAGGAGAGGGATGATGGAGGAGGAGGAGGAGGAGGAGGAGGAGGAGGAGGAGGAGGAGGAGGAGGAGGAGGAGGAGGAGGAGGAGGAGGAGCCCTGCTTCCTGTCCCCCCTCCTCGGCGCGCCCTCGTTGGAGTGACCTCTGCTATGCGCATCTTTGGCTTTGGCGCGAGGGACTTCCTAGCCAACAACACGCGGGCCGCTGCCGTCGTCGCGCCGCGCGCACAACGGTCGGCGCGCCGCGCACCGGATGCGTCACCGTTGCCCGCGGCCACTCCTGCATGCAGCCGGATGTTGTGATCGACATGGGGACGGAAAGAACCCAGGCCTCCTCCTGCTTCTCCTCCTGCTTTTTGCCTTTCTCCTGCTTGCCATCGAGATGGGGACGGAAAGAAGCCAGATCGCCGACGGTCTCGTTTTTCCAATCCGGACGCTTGTCGTCCGTTTCGGCTCCTGGGGTGGCCGCTTTCGGGCCCTGGTCCGGCACGAGAAACTGTCCCTGGAGATGTCATCGATCGAGACCTCTGGGACGCGGACTGAACAAATCACATCGTCGGATGTACATGGCCGTGAAAAACCAAGGCGAGTCGTTTTGACACTTTTCGGCCTCTTGGGATCTGGACTGGGCACACGGGCCGTCAGAGAACGACTCGGGATGAAGCATTGGGCCTCGGAAAAGGGCTGGGATTACACAATTCATCGTTGACCTCCAGGAACATATGGGAGAATATGAGAAGTGAGGGGGGAAGACGAACACCTCACAAATAGAAGAAAATATGGGAATCCTGGGATTTGTGTCTGTTCGTTTGTGTGTCCCTGGGCTTCTCTAGTGTGGGGCAGAGAGCGAGGCATCGGAGGTCTGGGAGCGGGAGCGACCAGCAGCGCAGCTCCTGCCCATTCTCCGAGCGCGCTCGCTTCCGGCGGCGCTTCGGGCGCTGCCCCCTGGGAGAAACGCCACGAGCGACGACCACGCCCGTGCCCGTGCCCTCGCGGTCGGGACACCGAGGCGCGGCAGTCTTGGAGTGCCAGGTTCCAATCGACTTTGAGCGCCTTCCTGCTTCAGTGGTCGAGTGGCCTCGCTTTCTCCGTCCTCTTCGGGGGGCGGGCGGACACCCGATCTGCTTCCAATCTGCTTCCTACCTCGTGCTTCTGCCTGCGTCTTCCGACCGACGGGGCGTCCGTGCCCTCGCGGTCGGGAGACCGAGGCGCATCTCCACGGCTGCTTGCGCGATCCTGTGGCCACGCCCCGCGCGAGGCATCCGCGCAGAGCCGCCGCGTGTCCGTTGGGGCGCGGTCTGGGAGTCCGGGCTGCGAGGCAGCGGATGCGGGTACGGTGGGGGCTCATGCCAAAAAAAAACCTGCTCGCCAGCAGGGTGCCTTGGGTTTCTCGGGTTTCGATGCTTTTGCGACGGAAAGCGCGACGTTCTCACACAACCAATCAGTGGACGTCCTGGGGTCTCAGGATTGGGCTTCTTGTGGAAGGTTTTTTGTGGACTGGCCTCCACTGTACGTTTCCCGCCCACGAGAGCGTGACTCGCCCAGCAGCGGCCAGTGTCAGTTCTGTACAGCGTTTGCTGTTTGACGTCGTCCTCGTTTTCGCCTGTCGCCATGCCGGGCGTGCCGAGAGGAGGAGGTGCTCGGGCTGAGGCGGACAGGACTGGCGGCGCGCAGAAAGGGTTTCGGATCGGATCGGGCTTCGAGGATAGAAGTTTTAGGTCGGGCATGCCCCTCTACAGGAGAAATATTCAAACATAGTAGTAACACATACTCGGGCAAGGTTTTTTATGCTTTGATTATTTTGGTGTATGTATTGCGAAGGCCTTACGACTGGTGCCGCCGACCCTGAAGACGACGAAGGGGGAGGAGGAGGAGGAGGCAGAGGAGGTGCTCAGGCCCCCCCCCGGGTATCCGGATGGGACCCCCCCCCTCCCCCGGGGGAGGGGATAAAAGGGACGGGGCTTCACTTCGAGTAACTACGACGTTGCTCAGATTGGCTCCCCCCCGCGTCGCGGCCGCTCCCCTCCCCCGAAGGGAGCTGCCCGGGTGCTCCCCCCCCCAGGTATCCGGGTGGGACCCCCCTTCCCCCCCCCCCCCGGGGAGGGGATAAAAGGGTAGGGGCTTCCCTTCGAGTAACTACGACGTTGCTCAGATTGGCTTCCCAGCGCGTCGCGGCCGCTCCCCTCCCCTTGCGGGAGCTGCCCGAGTGCTCCCCCCCCTCCCCCCCGGGTATCCGGGTGGGACCCCCCCACCCGCCCCCGGGGAAGGGAAGGGAAGGGGCTTCCCTTCGAGTAGCTACGACGTTGCTCAGATTGGCTTCCCCCCGCGTCGCGGCCGCTCCCCTCGCCCAGGGGGAGCAGATTGACTCCCCCCCTGGCCGCGGCCGCTCCCCTCGCCCGGGGGGAGTCCACCACTCCACCTCTCGGAGCCGACGTGACGATCGCGTTGGCAGCTCCCCTCCCCCGAGGGGAGCCGACCACCCCTCTTGGAGCCGACGTGACGATCTCGTGGGCAGTGTGGGCGACGACGACGACGACGACGACGACGACGACGACGTTTTTTTGATTATTTTGGTGTATTTATTTGATATTTTTATTGCTGCGTCCAAAATCCGCCTGTCGGAGGACATGCCCGACTAAAATGTTGGAAGTTTTCTGCTGGATTTGCTGTGGCCAAGTTGTGCCTCCAGTCAGGCTTTTCGGCGCCACGGCTGCACTCCCCCCAAGAATTCTGGCCAGGAGCACCCCGGGAGAGGTCTGGGGCCGGTCTTGAGGCCACCCCGCAGGCCCGGGCGTCGCAGACATCTGCGTCTTGGGGGCCTCCCGGGGGCCTCCCGGGGGGCCCGTCGAGGGCCTCCCGGGGCTCTTGGGGTCATGTTTGGGGTCTTGGGTCTGCGGCGAGCGAGGCGTGGGAAGTGAGAAGGAGAAGTCCTTCTCAGAAGGCGGCGGGGCTTCTCAGAAGCCCCCGTCGCCTACTGAGAAGTTTTCTGCGTCTTCGGGGGAGGCTCAGAACACTTCTCAGAAGGCCAGGGGACTTCCGAGCCTTCTGGGAAGGCCCGCCCCTTCTCACTTACCCCCCAGGCTCGCCGCCGACCAGGCTCTCTTGGGGTCAGGGTCTTGGTGTGAGGGCCCCCGGGGGCCCTTCGAGTTCTCACTCTTGGGCTCCTCCTGCTTGGCATCGCTCGGACGTGTGCGGCGAGGGCCATTGAGGAGCAGATTGGGTCATATCACGAGAACAAAAGCACGCATGACATCGAACAATGCACTGGGAATGGACGTCCGAGCGATGGCGAGCCTGGAGCCCTCATGCGGGTCTCTTGGGCAGTCTGGAGGGATTTTTTGGGCCACCTCTTGGCAGCCCTGCTGGGCTGCCTTCGGTAGACACCCCTCGAAATGGTGTCCATACAAGAGTTGCTGCTGCTCCTGTTCTGTTCTGTAATTGTGTTAGGCGCCTCGGCGCCCCCTCCGCTGCGCCTCCATGGCGCCACGTACGCGGAGCCAGTTGCCAGTTGCCAGTTGCCAGTGCCCTTCGAAATGGCGAATACGTCAAACATGTGGAAGCACATCAGGACACTTACTGTTTTTGGCCTCTCGGCGCCCTCTTGGAGGTCCTCCTGGGGCTCTCGTTTGGGCCGTCTTGGGAGCCCCTGGGGCTGTGTAGAGACCATCTGGGGCTTTCTTGGACGTATCTTCGGCCGTCCAGGAGCACTTTTGGACCGTCGTGCAACTTTCTTGGACGATACGTACGCGCTTTGGAGGGCCCACGGGGCCAGGGATGGGGAGTTTCTCCTTCTGAATTGACTGAACCAGGATCCCATGGGGAGGGGTTCGGGGAGGGGTAAACATCGCACACACCGAGGAAACCTGAAAGGGCCCGGGATGTTTTGTCTCCTGTGGGCCTGCCGGAGGCGGCTGTTTATTCGGCCGCCACCAGAGGACGCACAGGGGGACACTTCGCTGATGAACATGAGGAGCAGTACCGCCAGGAACTGAAGGAGGCCGCCAGGAAGGAGGGCCTGGACCTCTTCGATGTGTCCCTGCTCTACACGCGCACGCGGGGAGGTGGTCGAAGAAAAAACAATCGACGTAAGCATGACCTCTCGGCGGTCCCGCGGATTTCTTGGGTCGGCGCTGGACTCCTCTTGGCGGAGGTCCAGTGCCGAGCCAATGATTCCGCGTCGACCTCTGGGAGTTTTGCAGATTCCCGTAAACAGCGCTTGCACCACGGGGTTCTTGTTTTGCTTCTTTCTTAGCCATTGCGCGACGCAGAACAACGGCTTCGACTGCGCCGACATTCGCGCGCAAGCTGCCCACGTGAGGTCGCGCGCGAGCGCCCTTGCTTCCAATGCAGCGTGCCGCGCTGGCGGGCCGCGTAAGCCATCGCGTAAGGTCGCCATGCCATCGTGCGTAAGACCTTCTTTCATTCAAGTGGCTTACGCCATGCCGCCGACCCCCCAAAAGGAGTCAGACCTTGCGAAGATCGTGGAATCTGTCTGGTGGCCTCCGGCCCGACTCGCCACTGTGCCTGGGCTGTGGGTCTGGAGCCTCGTGGACGGAGATGGGAGTCTCCCAGCATGCCCCTCGGGGGCCTCTTGGAGGGCCCTTGGGTGCATCTGGGAAGCTTTCTGGGGCCTCTCCAGGGGTCCCTTCGGGGGCTTGCTGGGTGTCGGCGGATTTCGTCGCCCAACCAGACTTAAGTCGGGCCTGTCCCTCTGCAGGAGGAGTAGCCCAAACTTGTCAAACAATAGTCCGGGGACGATGTTTCGACTATTTTTGGATCATTTCTGGGGTGTATATGTATATGTATGTATATATATATACATATATACATAAAATACATGTATACATGTATACATGTATACAGGTGTGCATATATTCCCTACCTAGGCTCTGCATATAAGGGTTCTTACTCTCTTTCTTAAAGGGGCCGGGCAGTGCACACCGCCCCGGGCGGTTCCCCCAGTATCCGCCCCGCGGTTCCCCCATTTACGTCCCCTTAGCTTAGCGTTGCTTATCTCATCTTAGCGTAGCCTAGCTTAGCTTAGCTTAGCTTAGCTCAACTTAGCTTAGCGCAGCGCAGCGCAGCATTAACATAGCATAGCATAGCATAGCACTGCATAACATATCATATCATAGCATAGCATAGCGCAGCATAGCATAGCATAACATATCGCAGCATAGCATAGCATAACATAGCATAACATAGCTTAGCATAGCACAGCGCAGCATATCGTAGCATAGCATATCATATCATATCATATCATAACATACCATAGCATAGCGCATCATAGCATAGCATACCATAGCGCAGCATATCATATCATATCATATCATATCATAGCATAGCGCAGCATAGCATAGCATAGCAACGCAAAGCAAGCACAACAGCAACATCAAACACACACGCAAAGGCAAAGGCAAACGCAAAGGCAAGAGCAATAGCAAAGGCAATGCGAGACACACACAAAACCAATGCGAACGTGCAGATGTAGATTTAGGTGGTGTAGGTGTAGGTGTAGATGTGGATGTAGGTGTAGATGTAGATGTAGATGTAGGTTTAGATGCATATGTAGATGTGAGTGTAGTTGTATATGTAGATGTAGGTGTATATGCATGTGTAAATGTAGATGTAGTTGTAGGTGTAGATGTGGATGTAGGTCTAGATGTAGATGTAGATATTAAGCTGTACTATTACTACTGCTACTACTGCTACCACGACTACCGCTGCTGCTACAACTGCGACGATGAGGAGAAGGAGGAGGACGCTGTCTACCGTGTCACTACTGATATTGCTCTCCTCGGGGCTCCAACTCCTAGGTAGGGTCGCTCTGGGATAACACATATATATATATATATATATATCTACATATATACACACATATATATATATATATATATATATATGTTCTTGCATCTATGCATACATTACTTTGGATGTTTTGTCCAGAATCCGCCCGCAGGAGGACGGGCCCGACCCAAACTCCGACTGGCCTCCCGGGCCTGCCCCCGAAGGGCGGCGGCCCGTGGCCGCCCGTCGCCGCCTCGACGCCGCCCCCGCGGCCGCCGACGGGGCCTGCCGGGTGTTCGCCGCCGGCGGCCGCCCGCGGCCGCTGCGCCGTCGCCTCGCCGCTGCCTCGCGGCCCGCGCGGCTGTGGCACCATCGCGGAGCTCCAGCCCCTCCTCCTCCTCCTCCTCCTCCTCCTCCTCCTCCTCCCTACTCCTCCTCCTTCCTCCTGCTCCTCCTCACTCCTCCTCCTCCCCTCCTCCTCCTCCTCCTCCTCCTCCTCCTCCTCCTCCTCTTCCTCCTCCCGCACCGACATCGGCGGCGGTGTGCCTCCACCGAGGGGAGGTGCTCCCGATCTCGGTGATGGTGGTGGTGGTGGTGGTGGTGGTGGTGTCGGGCTTCCTAGGTGGCCGAGAGAGTACCACGGAGACCAGACGTCTAGGATCATTTCCTGGTGGAGGCACACCCCTGTGTTGGTGTTGGTGCCCATGTCCAGGCCTCCAACACCACGCACCTTGCGCCACACGGATTGCGCCACGCAGCTTCACCACAGCTTGCGCCGCGTAGCTTCCACATCCAGGCTGCGGAGGCTCACTGCTTTGGGCCCACGGCTGGCAAACGTTCACTTCTGACCCGTCTTCAGGTGGTCACTGGGAGAAGTCCGACAAAGCGATCAGGCGAGAGTTGACCGCGACAGCGACAGTCGGGGGACATCAACTGACCACCTCATCGATCCTGTCCGGGGGCGATCCTGGGCCCAGGGTCGGTGTGTGTTGCCTGCCTGGCCAAGCCAGGAAGCGATCCGTCTTGCAGTTTTGTGCGCCGACGTGGCCTATGTCTACGAAGCAGTTGACATCCATGGCTGCCTCTGCGCGTGCTGGGCGAGTGCTGGTTGGGTGGCGTCAGGTTAACCACCTGGCGCCAGGTTGCACACGGAAGCGCCGGGTCCACTGCCGGTGGAGGCGGCGTCGGGCGAGGTGCCCCGGCGTAAGGCCAGGGGGAAAGTTTGTTCCGATCCAGAGCCAAATGTGGGCCCAGCTTAGACTAGGAAGGTCAGTTGACGTGCCCCGAGAGACGCCTTGTCTATATTCACCGACCCCGAGCTGCCCTCCCTCGAGGACTTCGACGCGGAGGCGGAATTCCTCCTGCAGGAGGGTGGCGGGCGCCACGACAGCCCTCCTCAGAGATAGCCATGGAGTAAGGCGGAGGGAGCGGAAAGTGAACGGTAGGAGGGAGGGAGGAGGGAGGGAGGAAAGGGGGGAGGAGGGGCGGTCGGG